CTGGTGCAGCTACTGGAGGGCAGTCTATCGGCGGCCACAGATGTGCGCGCGCAGAGTGAAGCTCGGCTGACGGATCTGTTGCGTACTCCTGGCTTCGCTCTTCAACTGGGTGAATTCCTCTTCTCCGCTGAGGCGTCGGAGGCGCAACGTCAGTTGTCCGCACTGCTCCTCAAAAAGCTCGTGACGTCCTACTGGATCGCCAGCGAGGAGACTACCTACGTAGTTCCAGAGAACGAGAAGACGCAGGTCAAGCAGGCTCTCGTGCTGGCTCTGCAGCAGCGTCTGGAGCTATTTGCCGGCAGCAAACTTCAAACCGCACTGTGTCTCATCTTGACCGCTATCTTCGAGCGGGACTGGCCTGACCAATGGACGGAGATCCTGCCGGCCATTATGGCCATGGTCTCAGGTCAAGATAAGCTGCGCATTGACTTTGCTGTGCGCTTTCTATCGCTCGCAGGGGGTCATTTCTCCAGTGATAATTGCTGTGAGCTCGTGGCCTCCGTTTTCCCGCACTTACGTCGGGTTTTCGTGCTCACAAACGAGTTCCCGGCCGGTACCCGATCCAGAATCGCTCGCATCGTACAGAGTAGTCTGCTTATGGTGGGTATGGAGGCCCAAGTAGGCAACGCCACGGCCCGTCAGCTGCTGCATGAGAACACGACGCAATGGATCGCTCTATTCCTCGAACAACTGGCCGCACCAGTGCACAACGTCAAGGACTATTCGATCAAGATCCAGATCTTGACGACGCTCGCGAGTTTTGTGCGTGAATGGCCCAAGGAGATGACGGATCTCATGCCTCAGATCATGCCTCAAGTCTACGGCCTTATGCTCAACGACGCTGAAGCTTACGAACATCAAGTGGTTCTCAACTCTTCAGAAGAAGAGGAAGGCTACGACAGTGATGGAGAGGGCGCTCTGATTGGTCGAAGTGCCATGATCGTCGCTGCCTTTGAGTTCGTGCGTGGCGCCATCCAAGCCCCCACCAAGAAGACCCGACAGCTCATTGTGGGTGGATTGGCCGACTTTGTGTTCGTTATGATTGGATACATGCAGATCACAGTGAGTCAGATGGAGGCGTGGCAGGAGGATCCTAACAAGTACGTGGCTGATGAGGACGATGAGAGTCTGGCATTTAACGTACGTAACGCAGCGACGGACTTGTTGACGGAGCTGGAAGCTGTGCTGGGACGCAAGGCTGTTGTGGCTGCATTGGATGCCGCTCAACGTCGTCTTAAGGCTGAGAATCCCAACAATTGGCGACTCCAAGAAGCGGCGTTGCTGGTTGTTGGCTGTTTGGCTGGACCGACACTTGATGCTATCAGTAAGAACGCTGCTGATATCTCCCAGTTGCTGGATCTATCGGCGTTCTTGCAGACGTTGTTCAAGGTCATGAATGCAGGCAGTCAGGAGATCTATCTGCG